TGATTAGAAGAGCACAGCAGGGTGCGCTGTGCATCAGAGAAGCTTTGAAAACCAGTTTCATGACTGGCCAGGCTACGGTGTGACAGTTCTGTTTGTTTCTCCTGATGAAAACCCGCCCCCTTGGTTCACTCTACTTCCCTGTAAAAAGCCAACCACCCCTCCCCGCTTTGATCACCGCTTGCAGAGGCAATAAAGTCATTATTGTTTCAAAATCATGCATTCTTTATTAATTCATCACATAAATAGGGGGATAACTGCCAAGGTAGCCCAGGAGGGGTGAGGGAGGAGGGAAGCACTGGGTGGGGTGGTGGATGAAGGGAGGAGGGAAGGAAAAGGCCACACTGCACTTCAAAACTTATTGAATGCCAACTTTCTGTTGCTTGGGCAGTCCTCTGCAGTGGAGTGGTTGGGTGCCCGGAGGGGCCCCCCCCCCTGCATTCTTGGGCGTCTGGATGAGGAGGCTATGGAACTTGGGGAGGAGGGTGGGTGGTTACACAGGGGCTGTAGCGGCGGTCTGTGCTCCTGCTGCCTTTACTGCAGCTCCACCAGATGCCGGAGCATATCAGTTTGATCCCGTAGTAGCCTCAGCATTGCCTCCTGCCTCCTCTCATCGCACTGCCGCCATCTCTCATCTTGCTCCTGCCACCTCCCCTCTCGTTCGTCCTTCCTGTCCTCGTGTTCATTTTCTGCTTTCCTGGACTCTGACATTGTTTGCCTCCACGCATTCTGCTGAGATCTTTCAGTGCATGAGGACTGCATGAGCTCAGAGAACATTTCATCGCGAGTGCGTTTTTTCGCCTTCTTATCTGCGCTAGCCTCTAGGACGGAGATGATAGGGGGAGCGTTGAAACATTTGCAGCTGCAGGAGGAAAAAAAGGGAGAGTAGTATTTAAAAAGACACATTTTAGAGAACAATGTGTAGACTCTTTCATGGTGAACCAAGCTGTTAACATTACATAGCACAGGTGCTTTCGGTACAAGGTCGCATTTTGCCTCTTATTTTGAGGGCCTGCCGGTTTGGTGTGAGAGATCACACACGCAGGGCCGGGCAACAGAATTCGGCTTGCAGGCAGCCATGGTAAGCCACAGTCTTTCGACTTCTTCAACCTTCACAACATGTGGGAATGGTTTCAAACAGCAGCGCCTTCCTTTCCCATACCAAGCATCTGTTGGGTTGGCCATTTAAAAGGAGGGGCTGTACTGGTCTCAAATGCATCCCAAGTCTTCAGGGCAAATTAATCATTAAACACACTTGCTTTTAAACCATGCATTATATTTACAAAGGTACACTCACCAGAGGTGCCATCTCTGGCTTCATGGTCCGTGAGCCCACCTTGGGAGGGTATTAGATCCAGGGTGATGAACAGGGAGAATGGTTTCTCCACTTGCGTGCTGTGCACTATCCTCATCACCCTCCACCTCCTCATCTTCCTCATCCCCAAAATCCGCATCCCTGTTGCAGGAGTCCACGGACAGGGGTGGGGTAGTGGTAGGGACCCCCCCCCAGAATGGCATGCAGCTCATCATAGAAGCGGCATGTCTGGGGCTGTGACCCGAAACGGCCATTTGCCTCTTTGGTTTTTTGGTAGGCTTGCCTGAGCTCCTTAATTTTCACGTGGCACTGCTGGGGGTCCCTGTTGTAGCCTCTGTCCATCATGCCCTTGGAGATTTTTTCAAATATTTTAGCATTTCGTCTTTTGGAATGGAGTTCTGATAGCACGGATTTGTCTCCCCAAACAGTGATCAGATCCAGTACCTCCCGTTTGGTCCATGCTGGAGCTGTTTTGTGATTCTGGAACTGCATGGTCACCTGTGCTGATGAGCTTGCCACGCTGGCCAAACAGGAAATGAAATTCAGAAGTTCCCGGGGCTTTTGCTGTGTACCTGGCTAGTGCATCAGAGTTGAAAGTGCTGTCCAGAGCGGTCACACTGGAGCACTCTGGGATAGCTCCCGGAGGCCAATACCATCGAATTGCATTCACACTACCCCAAATTCGACCTGGCGATGTCGATTTCAGCACTAATCCCCTTGTCAGGGAGGAGTACAGAAATCAATTTTAAGAGCCCTTTAAGTCAACAAAAATGGCTTCGTCATGTGGACAGGTGCAGGGTTAAATCGATCTAATGCTGCTAAAGTCGACCTAAACTTGTAGTGTAGACCAGAGCTAAGTAACTAGACTGTGCTAAAGTGTTATGATGGGACAGATTGGGGGATACCTGAGGGGCTCTGATCTCATTCCGCTGGCTCCAGGGGAGTGTCTATAGCATGCCTCAAAAATGTTCATGTTAATGTCACTGCTGCTAGGAGATCTGCTCATATGTGTGTGCAGCACTGCAGCTTTCGATATGTCTGTCGTCTGGGCACAGTGGGACCTCCCAAGTGCACGTAGTCTGTGGGACAGACCTTCCCCACCCCCCTTGAAATGGGCACTCTCTCCTTCTCCTGATTACTTCCAGATACACATTCATGTAGCTTGGCTTGCTCTGTTTTACAGGGTTTATTCCCTACCAAAATGCCCAGTTTGGACCATGCTATCC